AGATACATCTTTTTATAAAAATCACATTAGTCCATGGAGATTTGTATGGATGTTTTTTTTTTTAAAGCAAAAATGAATTGCTCCATTGTTAGCAAGTTAGTTCCTAAACTCAAAAAATGAACAAGTTAATGTTCAACATTTCATTGTCGAGGCATTATTAATCCTCGAGATCTAGTAACCATCAAAAACTGTTCAAAATCTTCAAATCTTATAATTATCTTCGTCTTGTTTGAAAATATTTTTTAAAAAATGATTTTTTCCTCGCACTCATTTTCAATAATATTCTTTAAAAACTGAATTATTTTCCGCATTGCAGTTTAGAATCTTCTTTACTTTTTAATCACCAATTCTCTACAAATTGACTTTTCAAAAAATTATTCTAAAAAAAATCAAATTCATACGTGGACGAATTTCAATTTCTACTTGAGTAGACACCTAGAGATTTAGTGGTTGTTTAATAAAAAACTATCAATTTTCCAATTGGTAAAACTTTCAATTCATGAAATTTACAACTTTTATATTTTATCAACTTTTATAAAAATATACTAAAGTATTTAGAGTAATGTTACACGCATAGGGAAAGTTCAACATAATTCATACAGAGAGGCACATAATACAGTTTCATTGGAAGTTGTCAAAAAGATAACACGCACTTGAAAATCTAAGGGCCTATTCTCTTTTTTGTTTTCAGCCCCGTTTTCTGTTTTCAATTTTTCAAAATAGTGAAAAGACGTTTATTTACCTATTTTCAAAAACGAATTTTCGAAAATGATTTTAAAATTTATAAAGAAGACCAAAAATGACAAAAATGTCGTTTTTGGTGTTTTCAGTTAAAACCAAACCAAAATTTTCAAAATATGTTTTGAGTGTTTTTAGTTTAACGTCACCAGGGATGTAAAAAAAAAAAAAACCGTTTAATTCGAAATTCGTGGGGCCCCGCCCCGAAAAAGCATGGGATTACCCGCCTAATCGTATAAATGGGGCTGGGACAGGGCGATGGTCATTGCCCCGAAGCGGGTACGGGGCGGGTACGGGAATCATAATCCCCACCCCGCTACCCGTTTCATTTAAAGTTAATTTTAAATTTAAGTTTTTTACCAAACAAAAATAATATATTTATCATATTCTTAAAGAGAACATAAGTTGTTTCTATGTGATAATACTAGTGCTATAAATTGGTCAAAAAAATCTCATCTTGCACTCACGCACAAAGCACATTGAAATTTAACACCATTTTCTTAGAGATCATGTGCAAAAATGAGATATTTATTTGGAATTTATAAGTATCTGATAAACAATTGGCCGACATTCTTACAAAACCTCTAGCTCTCGACAAATTTTCCTACATTCGTAGAAGACTGGGTATTATCGATGAATTTGAGATTTGTGGTTAAATGGCTTTAAAATGAAAAATTGCATTCAAAATATTCGGTTGACCAATTTCAAAATTTCGGTCGACCGAACCTGTTCTACCGAGAATGACTGACTAAGATACTCAAAAATTTTATATTTTCGGTCGACACTCGGGAAATCAATTTTTTTCAAAAATCAAAAATTTCGAAAATACTCATGCTTCCAAAGAAGAAATCAAAGAAAGGGGAAGCAAGCTCATCGAACGTTGAAGTTGACACACCCGTGCCCGACCGCTTCACCGATTGTCCCATTCTAATCGAAAGTCTATTGATTTCTTTGAATTCTCTACCAAAACTCCTTCATTTAGAATAGAGGAATATTTTGAGAATATTGGTTGGACGAATGTGGTTGCTATCTCGGAAAATATGTCCTAATTTAATTCATGAATTTTATCGAGACCTCTCATTTTATTCATTCCATGTCACTTGTACTCTTAAAGAGAAACGAATTACACTTGATAGAAATACCCTTCTAGAAATCCTTGGGTTAGGGGAATGTGAAAACCTTGCTTATATTCATTATTATCCCGTTAGGTTTAAGGGCTATGACGAACTTGAAGCTTGTTGTCGAGACACCGATCGACCTCTAACCACCACAATGTCCTTAAATAGAAATCGCCTCACTATACAGTGCAAAATTCTTCACTGGGCTATTGCTCAAATTATCTTTCCTCGTAGTGGACATTTTTAAGAGGTTCATCACCTTGACTTGTTCATCCTTGAGTCTTTCCTTGTTGGTCGTCAATTGGACTTTCCCTGCCTCTTTTTGAAGCACATTCGACAAATTCACAAGTCTCCTAGAGCTCTAGGCTTGTCTTATGGCATGCTTCTTACAAGAATCTTTAAACATTTCAATGTGCCATTAGACGATGAACCTTTTGTTAAGCTCAAACACACCGATGTCATAAATCTCAACACTCTTAAACGCATGAAAATCGTTAAATGCAATGGGCAATGTGAGTGTCATACTCAAGGCTTCGACAATTACTCGGAGCCTACTACTTGGTCATTCACTTTAGAAGAGGCGGAAGAAGGGATGGGTGGTGATGGTGATGACGGTGATGATTCTCCTCGAGCATATCATAGGGGTCCTACTCCACAGCCAATATATGACTGAAGATCATTTGAACATCCTACAAGGTCAGATTGATTCTCTTACTACTACCGTCAATGTGCTTGATCAACAAATAGAGTAAATGAGTTTATCTCAAGATACCTTCTTTGCACACATGTATTTCGTTCATCCTCAAGGGCCTTTTCCACCTGCGGAAGATTAAAACATTATCTCTTCCACCTATGATTTCTTTCACTTATTTTTTTAAAGTTGTACCTATACCTTATCTAGGGGGGAATTTATTCTAATATATTTGTTCTCGTGCTTTTTGATGATGACAAAAGGGGGAAAATGAAGAAATATATGTGATTGTAATTATGACTTGCTATTTGATTATGAACTCTTGTTATTTCTATTTATGAATTATGTGAGTTCAATTATTTCCATACATTTTGATGACTATAAATGTGATTTACTTTATCAATGAATTGTGGAAATGAATGTCTCTAGAATATCATGTTATATATTATACAAACTTGATTCTCATTGATGTGTAAAAGATAGGGAGGATATTTTGTATATTTCTACAAATCACATATTGTTTGTCATAATAAAAAAATGGAAAATTGTTGACCTATAATTTAATATAATTCCACTTGTTTTGATTATAACAAATAATATATCATCCTAAGCATTCAAAGAGTCAAATCATCATCCGTTGAAGAACAAACAATCAAATGAGACTCGAAGAGAACAAGAATTTTGAATATTAAAGTCAGAAGTAGTTTATCGGAATTTAAATGTAAATGTATTAACTCTTCAATTCTTAGCAAGTGCATAAAACTCAAATTATTTTCATAATCTATCACTTCCATAAAAATACTTTTCCTTCATAATATAAAATAAATTTTGAAAATGAAATTAAAAAAAAAAAGTCAACTTTCGGTCAACAAAAATTTCAAATTTTCGGTTGATCGAAAATGCTGTACTGGTCGGCCGAAATTCTAATGGATTGATTTTTCAACGGTTATATCATTTAGGTTGACCGAACTTACTCAACCGAAAGTGACTGAGAGTCCCTCTTTGCTCTATAAATATTCATTCCTTTTGCATTCAATTATCAACATACTTACAAGAAATTTTAGAGAGCTTATTTATTGAACATCATTAAGATTACTTGTGTTTAAAATCTATTTCATTTATTACAAAAAAATTTCTTGATTGATTCAACACATTTCATTCATCTTATCAAGAATTCTATTTTACAAAAAAAATTTCACAACTTCATCTACTCTTCATTCTTGAGAAAAGTTTTCTTTACCAATACTTTAATTTAAGTGTAAGTCTCTCTTCATACTTAACTTGTAATATTTGTTAAGAGAGATTATTGGTTTGAAAGCTTGGATACAAGAACTCAAACTATTTCACTATCAATTATTCATCAAAGTTTTCTTCATAGACATTCGTCGAAAGCGCAGGTTGCCGAGAGCGCTAGGTGCGCCAGCGATTGCAGGGAGCGTCGGAGAGAGAGAAGACAGTGATGAAATGAAGAGAGAGACGAGAGAGAACACGTTTTCATTTTTTTTATTTTCAAAAATAATTTTTCAAAATGACAAAAAAAATATATATTTTCAACAATCTCAAAATTGACACTCAAAATACAAAATTTAAAATGAATTCAAAATTAAAAACTAAAAATTGGAAGACTGTACCAAGAGTTGCCAATGCAGTGCTTGATAAATTAAAAATTTGTCGCACGATCCCTCAACTAACAATTTTCCCTTCAAAAGAAGAAGAAAAAAAGAGACACTCATCTCCCCTTCCAAAACCCTGTTATCAAAATTCTATCTCTCTGTAAATCATCCGCTTTTATGTACCCATCTTTTCCTCTTGTCGATTCCATTTTGTTTTTAGCCTTTGATTTCCTCATTAATATATTCAATTTGTTTTATTTTTCTGAGTTCTCGGAACAAAATTCCCTTCTTCACCATCGTTTCTCATTACTCTCTCGAATTCATCCATAGGGTTTTATCTGTGAATTTTTAACCGAGGACCGCAGGTGCGTACATCGAAACATACTGTAAATGCGAATATCTGATTAGTTATTTGACTATTCTATTGTGTTTATCTGTGAATTTGATTTTTGGTTACAAAATTCGAAGACGAAAAACATGGAAAATGGAGAAGGCAATTTAGAAAGTAAATTTGCTGGCATGGTGGTGAGAGATACCAACGACATCAACGGCAATGACGGATTGTTTCAGGTCATGAAAGCAGTAGACGCCGCCGAGGCCACTATCAAGCAGCAGGTATTTTTAGTTCTTTCCCTCTCTCCTTTTCTCTCCTGTATTTTAACTGTAGGGCAGGGTATTATCTGTACTATGAATATTTTTTTTTATAACCATGTGTGTCCGGCCAGCTTGCGCTCGTAACTCGACTAATCCCACGAGCGCTCAAGTTTATGGGCGGGTATTCAGCTCAGTGGCCCGATGGACTCGAACTGATGACCACGGGGGAGCAATCCCACCAATTGAGCAACCCAAGGTTAAAAATAAACATCTTTTGAATGGTATATTTGTATTTTTCCATGGATAGGGCAATCTCTCGATGCCCTTCCAATATGTGCTTGTAGAACAACATTGCAACAAGGGTCTGCTCTTGGAAACTGCAATGGAAACCACTGGGAACAAAAGGGATGAGAGTGTTATCCCTACCTTGTCTCTAAAATCATGCCTAGCACAACCGATGAAGTAAAACAGTAGGAACACATTCATTGAATAGTATGATCTTTTTTTATCTGTAATGACATTTACTACTGGACTAGGAAAACTGTACAAAAACGTCATCAACCAAAAAATATCTCTTCTAATTTAGCATTGGTCCAGTATGGTTATGCCTAACAAGTATAGACATGTAAAAGAGAACACACAATCCTATATTAGACAAATATCAAAGATGCCACTGATCTTCATCCATCCTATGCCACAGCATCACTCCTTTGACCACATGTATGAGAAAATACATCCCCCAGAAAAGCTTCATTTCATAAAAATTAAGTTTACTATACTATCCCACAATGAATTAGTTATATTGAGATTCAGATGATTATATATTTTATTTGTTTTTTCAATGAAGGGAGCTTTGATAATTACATGATAGACAAGGAGGGAGAAACATTTAATGCACATATCCTTATGATGTTGGAGTTCTGAAATTGAGCCCTTTTACTAGGATGGACTGAGTAATTAAATTTGTTAAACAAGCACTTAATAGGCATTTGTTTGACCTTGAGAAATGGCAAGCACTTAATAAACACACGACAGACCACTTAAATGAAAATAATCACTGAGTGAAGCTAGTTTGAATTAACATGACAGTAATCCTACATTAAAGAGAGGCCAGCCTTTGTATCTTTGGCAATTTGATCCTCTAAGCCCATTCAAGAAATTTCTAATATGAAGAAAGAGAAAAATGCAACGTACTACAATGCTCATATAAACTAATTGTGTGCCTGAATATCACAAGCAATATTACTAACTGTGCCTTTAGCAAATAGTACTAATGGAAGGAGAAAAGGGAAACATTAAAATGATTAGTCATTCAATATAATGATCTTCTTATGACGAGTGCATTCTAAAATGATAGTTCAAGCTTGAATTTGGAATCTTTGGATTTTTTATCACAGAAATCCCATTTTTTTTTTGTTTTGCTGGTACTTAGTCATACTCATTATCAGCCCCTTTTCCGTTTTTCACTTTTACTAGGTAAGCTTAGATTTTCTCCAATCTAAAAAGCCTTCATTTGGTTAATGATTCTTACAGCACTGAATTCCATTGTTTTGTTATAGATACCGAGGCCAGTCAATGTTCTTTCTCAAGATGTTTGTGTCTCATGTCAGGAATAACGAGATACATATCATTGAATTTTGCTCTGTGATATGGCAAATGAACTTCAGAGAAGATTTATCTTGTGTTTTCTATGAGGCTATTGTTTTCCTGAGCTATGAATAAGATGTTTCGTCTCAGGACCTGTGGTTTTAGTGATGAGGCTGATGGTAAAGTATTCTGGGGGCTTGCATTAATGGTTATTTCTTGGGGACGAGACAAAATCAATAGAGTTTTGAATACAGTATCTTCCAGTTCCTCTACTTTAGGACAAAGCAGTGTGCTTGGCTTCCCAATGGTGCATTACTTTTAATGCTTCCTTTAATATAGCTATCTTATTTACGACGTTGTTGGTGGCATTTCCTAGATGTTAATATTGTCCATTGATTCATTTTATTCCGATCTTCGTCAGATAGGATATTTTTCCTTCCCTCTCCATGGGCTAAACCTTGGGATTTTCCGGCAATTATTGATATGTGTTGTTGGAGAGAACTTTTTGCTCGATTGAGTTTCTTTTATTTCCCGCTTTGTTGACTGCTCGTCCTCTTTGTAACTCTCTCTATGTTGAAGTGATTTCCTTCTTTTTTTTTTTTTGTCTATGGTCCTTCAAGATAAGCTGCCTTTATACTTTGTATCCTCATCTATGTTTTTTTTATGTTTCTTTCAAACTAGGCCATATTTATTGTTTAGCTTCAAGTGTGGAACTACTTTCAGTTTGTATCTCGCACTCTTCTATATTTTCTTATACTTTTGTCAATTGGAATTTGAATTTCTAATGAAAGAGTTTCTCTTGCCAGAGATCAAAATATGCTGCTTCTAGATTTTTTTTTTTTGTTTTTCGTGAAAGGACCTTTACCTTCCTCCAAAAGGACCCTGGCAAGCAATGTGGTGGAGAGCCTTGACTATTGTCACTTAGTCTGCTAACATTCACTGTCCTGCTGTATTATAGACCCTTAAGAGTGGCGCGTCACCCACGTCACTCTTCATGCCTCACCAGCCACTTATTTTACAAAGATATGTAGAAAACTTTACACTTTTTATCCCCTTCTAACTATACTCTATTTACCCTTGCTCCAAAGCTTATATCCCTGATATAGGGGTTTCTGTGTAGATGATTATGCTGCCCTATTTATTGGTTGTGAGATAAGTTTATACATTTTTTCCCTATCTATAATTGCAGAAAATTCTCAAATGCTTTTATTACTGATATTAGAATTTTGTGCAACTTGTACCTCTTGGGGGTAAATTATTATGCTATGTTGGTATTTTTTTAATGATACATTATGCTAAGAGAAAAATTTTCTTAGCACTTGTGAAGCCTATGACTTGTGAGGGTAAAAAACTAGCCATTTGATAGAACTTGATTGTCTTTCACAGGTGGAAGAGAACAATCGATTGAGATTTGAACTTCAGAAGAAAATTCAGGAACTTGAGAAATATGTAAGTGCTCTTGCGTTGGATGTTCCCCTTGCAAAATTTTCTTTTTCTTTTTTTTTTTTTTAAACTACGGGTCCAAATTCTGATTTTTTTCATAATTATCACCAATTATTTCTTTCAAATCCTTTTTCTTAATGTCCTATATTTTACATTGAATATGGAAGCCACAATATCTAGAGGCTGCCTTGTGGCAAACAGTTAGGATTAGAATTTGTCTACAAGCAAGACTCCTCTATTAACTCTGACCTTAAAGTGGCTTGGTGTGTAATTCCCGGATTCGGCCACGGCATTTAATTCCCAATGCTTGGTAATTCTCTTTATGAGAGCTATCCATCATCCAAATGCACGTTTCATGCTTTAGCTTCCCAATCTGCGAGGATTATTGTACTTTCTCTATGGTCTTTATTTTGATCTTATCTCTTTAACACAATAGTATGACCAAAATCCTGTGATCAAAATTTCTTGAAACTCACTCTTATCAAATTACCTTATGTGATCATCCTCATCGCCTGCAAGCATCTTCAATTTCCTCAAGCATGTAGGCCTGTTAGTTGATTGTTTCTATCATTCCCTATACTTGTGTATATCTTGTATCCCTACTAATTATAACTAACTATAGTTCACATTCTGCATTTTTGTCTATAGGTAGATAAAATGTTCCAAATAATTTAAACGATAGATACCACAGCCTTTACGAGGATCGGTGCCTCCCGACAAAAAGAGACTTTTTCCTGTTCATATTCATTTTTATGGTATCATTAGCTTACTGATATGGTAAAGATAATCTAGGTACCTATATATATCTATTCACGTGGTAATAGGCTGCAAATGAACCTTTGGAAATCTTGTACCTGCACTATTCATAACTAACTATAATTCACATTATGCATTTTTGGTTATAGATAGATAAAACGGTTCAAATTATATAAATGGTAACCCAGGTAAATATATATTAACGTACGTGGAAATAGAACAAATGAAACTTTGAATTTGGAGCACGACAGATTTCTTGCATCCAATTAGAGGATTTATTATCTTCTTAATATTTGTAGTTTCGCTTATATAAACCATAAAGTATGTTTCTTAATAAAAACGTTAGAGAACACCATTATTTCCAACTGCAGTGGATTAAGTTTAGCCCCTGTTTGACATCCATTAGTTTTTTTTGGAAAAATGAGTTTTGGAATAGTGGTATTTTTGGAGAATATGAGGTTAAAAAGTAAGAAAAAGTTTTAGGTTTATATGCAAAATATTTTATTGTGTGAATGTGTGATTAAAAATGAGTTTGAGAAGAAAGAGTTGATTTAATGGATGTCGAACAGGGGCGGGTTTACTGTTGAAATGTTCTTCTCTTGCTTTAGACGGTGCCATTAGATAAAAACTAGTTTATGCAGTAATTTTGTGGAAGAGAATAATAGTAGTTTAGCAGTTGAAGCATCAGAATCAAGTTCTATCTTGGATGATCAGACCTATTGCTTAGAGAGTGACTATACTGATGAAGAGGTCAAGATGGATGAATTTGAAATAGCGAAGGATATAGTCCTAGGGCTACATGGAATTAAGATCACTTTTTATGTATATTCTAGGAAAGATGCAAATTGTGATTTAGTGATACATTGGTTGTAAGTTCATTATCTTGTTGCTAGAGACTAGAGAGGCATTTCAATTAAGGGCTAGGATCTTGACCTATTCGTTTAGTTACTACTTTGTTTAAGATTTTGACTGTGTCCCTTTCATAGACAATTAGAGAAGCATTTATTGTTTTTGTGTCTTAAAATGATTCTGTGGAATATGACAATTTTGATCTTGCTTTTGTGGCTTGAATTTATCATGGACATCCAAAAAACCTATATATGCCAACACTCCTATTTGTACGGTGTGTCCGACACGTGTCGTGTCGATCACAGACACTCCTCGGACGCTCCGAAACATGTAGTATTTGTATTTTTCCTTCCTTTGTGTAATATATAGTTTAAATTTCACTTATTTTATATAACAAATAGTGACCCGTAGATTTAAAAGATTTCATGATAAAAATAAAAAGAAAAAGTATTAACATAATGATCGAATAAATAAATTCTACAATTTTAAAGAATGTAAATTAACGTATCTCCAATGTGTCCAGTTTGAAAAATCACGAGTCGATGTCTCCATATTATGTTGCATCCGTGTCGCATGCCCGTGTCTATGCAACATAACAAAAAAACCTTCAAAAATGAGGACCTTGTTAAAGAAAGGGCTGTTATGCATTAAAATGATAACAGAAGTTACAGTTGTTTAAATTCACAAATAACTTGGGCTCTATATTTTTGTTAGCTGAAATGGAATATAAATTGAAAAGTAAATATTTCTTTTTTAATTCTTTATCAATTTCTCCAATTTTACAGTACTTATTTGATACTCTTACACGCATTAAGTTTCTTGTCTCTGTGTATGAAACACTTGACTCAATCTCTTTATCATCTAAGTTGCCTATCCTTCGCAGAAATCAGGTGATCTGAAATCTCAAGTTCCTCATTCAGTTGATCTATGGGATGACCATGTTAATGATCCTCGTAGAGTTCGTCAATTATTTTTGGATTATGCAAATCATATAGGTGGGATTGGAGAAATTGAACTCAATTCTGTTCATGATTTATCAGAAACAGCCATTCTCCAAAAAGATTTGATGGGAAAAGATATGGATGGTACCATGCACGCTCATCTTGTAAACCAATTTGATAATGGCAAGCTTAATGGGTCACTAAAAGTGCTCCCTGGTGGTCAGGCGGCCTCAGATAATTCTGGCTTTTCTCAGTCTGTGTCACCTTCTACAACATTTTCACCTAGCAGGTACATCAGTTTCAATAACTGATTTGCACAATGTGGTCTACAAGAGAGATTCCTTTTAACTACCATGATACTAGCACACGGAGCATTTACTGCTTTTGTTAGGTACCAAATTCAAGAAGAATGGAGCTCTACTTCTAGAAAAGGTTTAATTTCAATGGATGATGTCAACAATACTAATAGCCCAAAGCAGGTATCATAAGACAACCAGAAATAAATATCATTTGGAATATTTCAGTGCAAAGTCTAGTAGCTACTAGTCATATATAATCCTTTTGCTTCTAGCATCATTGTTGCATGCATCTGTGTAGAATCTTGTTGCGAAGGTTCAAGAACATGAAGAAGAGATTTTGCAATTGAAGAAACATCTTGCGGAATTCTCAATGAAGGTAGAAAAGAGAGTGTAATTTTGCAGTACTCTATGATCGCGTCTTTTCCCTTTTAAGTTCCTTTTGTTGTTGCGTTAATTATTCTCTTTTGGTAGGAAGCACAAATTCGTAATGAGAAATATGTCTTAGAAAAGCTTGTTGCATATATGCGTTTGGTGAGCAGGATTTGTGTTCTATAACCTTTATAAGAAATTCATTTGCTCGCAAAAACCTTATAACTGTTCAAAACTGTGCATTTAATTTTGTCCTAAGGTCTTTGATCAGCAACAACAAGATCTTGTTGATGCTGCATCTAAAGCAATTTCCTACAAGATATAATGGAAGAAAATGTGCATCTTACATATGTATTACAGGTATTATCTTCATACATCCTTTATACTGTCTAGTTTTGGTCCTTTTTTGGCTTGAAATTTCTTGATGTCGTTGTCTCACGATTGAATGCAGCATTTGGTTGACCTTTCTCACATATATGATGTTTTGTTCAAAGTCCTCTATAAACTAAAATTTTCATCAATGAGAGGAGAATCATAAATATTAATCAGTTAGAACATGCTTGTCTCATCTTATAAGTAGGTCAAAGTTACCAATAGTTTTTGTTTGCTTAAAATTTACGTTTTAATCCGACATACGGAGAAACATTACTTGTCAAAATACGGGTGGTATTGTAGAAATAAAGTAGGGAACTAGGGAACTTTTATGCACGTTACCAATGAAATGATTCTAATACCCTGAATGATTTGAAAGTATTTCCATCTCTATCCTAACTATACTTCATATAATTTTTTGATAGGTAATCATATAATTTTATTAATCAAAAAAGAATAAGCAGTAAGTGTATAATCATCTTAAACAAGAAAAGAAAGACATGAAATTAGGCAGCCCCTCTATGAGATTACTAGTTGCGGCATTAAACCAACTATACGAAGTTAGATAAAAAAATTCTCTAAATTGCTCCGTAGTCCGTGTTTGGTCTTCAAAACACCGATTGTTCATTTCTCTCCACACGCACCATATAAAGCATCCCGAGATAAGATTCCCAACAAGCTTGCTATCCTTATCACGAAAATTTCTCCTCCATGCCCGCAACACGCCCTCAATACATCTATGCAACACCCAATCTATATGCTGAGAAGCCAGAATATTATACCATAGCCAACGAACACCGTCGCAGTGAATGAACAAGTGGTCGTGCGACTCCCCATCACTCGTACACATATGGCACCACTCGGTTACATAGAAGCCTTTTCTTCGGAGGTTATCCATCGTTAATGCCTGTCCCCTAACAACCGTCCACAGCAAAAATGCCACTCGTGGAGGCAATTTACATTGCCACACCATCTTCCAAGGGAATGAATTCTCGACAGGTCCCAAGAGGGATTTAAAATAAGAGTGAACTGAAAAATACCATTTTGTGCCAACCGCCACCGGCTACGATCTTCCTCTCCAACTCGAATTTTCACATCATACAAATAGTTTTAAAACAGTGCGTAATCCTCCAATTCCTAATCCTACAAACCCCTCTGAAAGGTAATATTCCAGCTGAAACTCCCATTGTGGATGACTAAAACGTCCTTCATCGTAGCAAATGATACCATAGTTATGCGATACAAGGTAGGAAACCTCATCTTTAGCGGTATATCTCCACACTAACAATCCTCCCAAAAACTGATATTGTTACAGTTGGAAGATATATTAATCTTTGTTACCAACTTGTAGCCTTTGTTAATTGTTAGGGACTAAAGTGAAATTTCTTATTTTTCTTTTCTTTCATGTATATACTTGTAGTTTTACATTGTTCAATATACAAGAATTATTCTCCCAAATCTACTTGGTATCAGAGCCATCGGTTACCTTAGTGCCGGCGATGTCTTTTCCGATAAGCTTAGTGCCGGAATTTTTTTCCTGGCTGCCCAGGCTCGATACGTTCTTCCCGGCTGCCTAGAAGCCCATTTTCCAGCTGCCCAGACGCGATCCAGCCGCCAACGATGTCGCATCTGCGCTGGCACTGCTCCGGCGTCTGGTCCTCACTGCTCCGGCGCCGTTCTCTGTTTGATCTCTGTCGTGCGGTTCCTGTGCTGCCAGGATTCTGCTGCTCGATTTTTGTGGCCGTTTGGGAGTGCAAGAAGCTGATTCTTCTTCTTCCCCACCCCGTCCTACCGAACTCTGTGGAGTTGGTGCCCAATCCTCTTCTCTTTTAGGTTCAACTTCAGTGTTTGGTGCTTCATCGTCCCCTGTTTTTGGATCTTCTTCAACTCCTGCTTTTTGGTGGCTCAACATCAGTATTTGGCGGTAACGGTTCTTCTGTGTTTGGGCAGAACCCTATTTTTGGTAGCTTTGGGTCAAGTACTACTCAAACAAGTCCATTTGGAAGTTGATTTCAACAATCACAACCGGCATTTGGAAGTAATCTATTTGGTTCATCTTTTGTGATACTGTAGCCACCATATTTTTCCTTTGTGGGTAATGTTATTGGGCAGCCATGAGTGAGGTTTGGATTTTGGTCGAGAAATGAAGTGCTTGGTGTTGATTGTTGCTGGTTTAAATTGAGCCCGGATTGTACAATTGAAGATCTTGAGGTGTTAATTTCTGCTACAAATGGTGAACTTGTGATATGTGGGTTGATTAAACCGAGCCCTAAACCTTTGTAGTCGCCAAAGCAATCTATTCTTGAAAGAATGGCTTTCTACGTTGCTTGTTCATCTTCCGAGGACGGTATCTTTGGGTTGCACTCTACTTCTGCCGCATCTGATCGTTGGGTTATAGATTCTGGAGCTACCGATCATTTTACCTGTAATTCTTCCACATTCGATTCCTTGACAACTCCGCATGTTCAGTCTGTTCAAGTGGCTAATGGGACTCTTGTTAAAGTTACCGGGGCCGAAAACGTCTCGTTTTCACCTACTTTTTATAGTAGAAAACTCCAATCCCTCCACCTCTGGCCTCCACTCAAACTGCTCCCGATATAGATTATGGTATAATCTTACCATATGGGTCCTAATATCATGTGGATCCTCATAAGTAACCTCATTCACCTCTAACACTGTGATAGAATTGTTGCGCCTGTTAGAATTGGCAACCCTATGGAAAAACTTTATCTCCCTCTTTCAACCACGTGACCCTAGATTTTTGGCGCCAAGCAATCTCTTCTATCTCTACCAATCTCACAAGCTCTTCCCTTAATACACCACATCTCTCCTTCTCACCCCCACCCAACCCTCGACTCTTCTCAATCTTGTCCAACTCTTCAATATCGGAAACACTGGACCATACGAAAGTTCACATTTCCCACCACCTCCTCATTCCATCTTTTTAAATCCCTTTTTAATGCCGTCAACTTCTGATCCAATATAAAATTGGGAGTCCCCGAGAAATCATAGGAAGCCTACCAAGTTCATACATGCTCCCCAAAATCTTCCACTTTTAACCATATCTTCTCAAACCTAAAAGGTCTTAGACCACTATCCCTAGTGTTCCCAGTTAACAAAATAGGGAAATGATCAGAATACACCCTTCCCAATCTCCTTTGAATAGCATCCGAGTACTTAGCCTCCCACTCACCGCTAACCAAGAATCGGTCTATACGAGATACAACAAGTTGATCCCGATTCGAAGACCAAGTAAAATCTCCCCCAATCAAAGGCATATCCACCAACAAGTTCTCTCTAATAAAATCTGAAAAATCCTCCATAGCCCCAATAAGTCTCCCACCACTCGACCTTTCAGAGGGAAATCGAACCACGTTAAAATCACCCCTATTTGCTTAAAATTTACGTTTTAATCCGACATGGGGAGAAACATTACTTGTGAAAATAGTGGTGGTATTGTAGAAATAAAGTAGGGAACTAGGGAACTTTTATGCACGTTACCAATGAAATGATTCTAATACCCTGAATGATTTGAAAATATTTCCATCTCTATCCTAACTATACTTCCTATAATTAAGCTATTGAAGAAACAATTTTAACTGATAAATCATTAAATTAAAATAAAATATTAAAATATCTAAGTTAGTTTCTGTTTTTTGGCATTCTATATATGTGTATGAGTATTGATTTCTACCAAATTTATTAGTTCTTATAAGCAAAATTCAAAAATATACGTATTCAAGAAAGATCTACCACGTAACAGCAAAAAAATAATATTATTTGCAGGTAATTTTTAAGATTACTCAAATGACGTCTTAGTATTAGTATCATTGGAAGGAACTGATGATTTTCAATGTTTATGCTACAGGGATATCTTACATTTATATATACAAATTTAAATTCATGTTTTTTGGTTTACTTGGAAATCAAAATTTTCAGATTCGTGTTCACTGTTTCAGATCTTGCAATTTGCACGTGTGTAAATACACATAAAACATGCATAAGCACAAAACGCATGCATAGAGGCCCCACATTTGCTTTTTAAGTTTCTAAATCTAATGTGTTCTTTTCTGGATACAATTTCAATTATTGTAAAACTTTTATGGTGGGGTGTGTAAGAGTAAGACTAGTTAATGACATGGGCGAAAGATTGGACAAACTTTAACCACTCCCTTCCCCCTTCTACAAATGTGACCAAATATATTCTCAGGTTCATATATTGGTTCTTTCAGGCAGCACAGCAAGAAAGATCAATGTTTGTATCATCTTTAATGCCTCTGCTTGCAGAGTATTCTCTTCAGCCACCTCTTGCCGATGCTCAATCCATTGTCAGTAATGTCAAGGTTAATATGAGTAGCCTTATTAATTGTTTCTTATAATGAAATAGATGACACTTTTTTTCTGGTATTCTTTATTAATCAAAATTGTGAAGCATTAAACTGCTACCCTTGACCCTCACCCTTGTCGGTTACCAGAACAACTTGTGCGCTTTTTAAATATTTGAGTTAGACTATCGGCATATTTTAGTATAACATGGCTTGAATTGTCTCCTCTTAGATGGTTCTGTAGCTGCAAATAGAACATGCAGAAATGTAACTTTTGAGCCTTTCTAATTTGTTCCGACTGTTTTGGTGGTGTTTAGCTGTTAGTGTGGGTCTATGAGAATTAATGTTTTGATATTGAAAGCAAATGAAATTTGCAATAAGGTTGCTTGAAATTGAGCAACAGAAGAATAAAATCAAATAATAACATACAAGATCCATTAATAATTACTTTTAAGTCTAATATTTAGCTCAAATTTTTAGAAGCTAATTACTTTTGTTGATCAAGTCCATTTTGGAAAACTGGTCATACATGGAGAACATTAATGTAGTTCCTGTGCGTCAAATATTTTCTACCCAAATGTAATAAGCTTATTAGAATGATTTTTCCAGAAAAATGATTGGTCCAACTTTTATGGCATAATGATATCTAGATGTGCTCTTCTTGTTCTGCACCTTTCTCATATCACAAATTTTGCAATTACATATTTCCTTGTGCTCATTTAGGAATGATTACGTTGGCAGTGTGATCAAATCTTTTTGCATACTTAGGCATTAGTCTATTTCTTCTCATTTTGTGGGTTTCTTATACTGGGATTCACCTGAGGTTTCTGAATTGCAAACTATGTAATGCTCACCTCAACCAAACACTTCCGTATTTCCATAGGAATTCCATCTTAACCAATAGCTTTCCTCATCTTCATCCTCTTCAAAAGCTTCTCCGTCCCCTGAAACTTGAATTCCTTTCAGTAGAATTCAGATTCGTATTTGTAGTGAAGTTTGACAAATTTCCAATATTGACATTATGCCATTCATTATTCGTCGAAATAATTCCTCTATTTTTCTGTGCTTTCTATTAAAAAGAACTCTTTTGTTTCTTGTTTAATACAGTTGGCTTGATTTAGAACCTAAAATAAGAATCCTTTCATGCCTTGTCTATTTTGCTGGTTAGCTAACTTATACTTTTTCTCTAAATTGCACGTTTTGTCCCCAACCTTACACTTTTATCCCCCTTTTCTACTTGGCATTATTACCTTCAACCTTCCATTTATTAAAGTGTAGTTCGTCCCCACTCACAGTTCTAGTGGTTTTTTAATTTAATGAAAAAACATAATTCCCGTGATTCAAACAAACAAGTTCATAGGAAAAGAAAAAAAAAGCGAAAAATAAAAGAAATAACGTTCTTTATCAGGAAGCCCCTCCCACCCCCTGCATCTTCAGCACTATTCCTGACTTCATTCCCCAATGCCACAAAGAAAAAAGTCGCTGCTAGGAGTCAGATATGAGGAGTAGAGAGCGGATGAATAACTGTTCATGCCCGTGATCTTGTTTATGCAATCTCCTCCTGTGTCCTATTTAGTTTTTGCAGTTTTGCGGAAAGTCATACGCCATGAAAATTGAATCAAATCAAAACCAGAAGTTTATGAGAAAGGACCCATAACAAAATATGGTGAAATAGGCTTTAAAAAGAAGCTTGTTTGAACACATGAATCTTGTTTGCACATTAACTCTATTGAAAATGAGTTACCAACTTATCACCACCGAACTCATACCCCAAACAAGTAGTGGCCACACAGCACTTTCCATTGCACAGACAAAAACCTAGCTCCAGCTCCGTCGTTATCTCTGCATCTCGTACACAAATCCCAACTTAAAAGGTCTCTTCGAATCTCAATTTTAAATCTTAAGATCTTGTAACACTCAAAGACTAGACGAGAAGGTAAAAGTATTAAACCTACTATAATTCTCCTCTTTCTTTGTGTATATGTGTGTATACAAGTTTTTTGTAATGATTCATATAAAAACGCAGTTCAGTTTTTGTTAGCACTGTTGCTACTGGTGGTGGTTGGCGGCAAGGACTGCAGAAGTTGGCAGTGGCAATGGTGGGTTGCTGTTGGTTGGCGGTGGTGGTTGAGGTTGGTTGGGAGTGAGGGCTAAGAATGTTTGGGGAAGATGATTTTGGTTTTCCTCTTGTATCTTATTTAATTTTTTTGTTTGAATCAAAGGGCAATTTTTTCTTTAATTAAATTTAGTGGTATTTTCGAACGGAAACGTGATTCTGAAATGCACTAATGAATGGAAGGTTAAAGGTAATGATACCAAGGAAAATAGGTTGGGGACAAAAAAGTGCTACAGCGTTTGAAGTCTGAAATACGCTAAGAATGGAAGGTTAAGGGTAATACTAGCCACTTTTAAGATGCTTTTACATTTTTATATTTTTGTAAGTTTCTATAGCATTCTTTTAATCTTAACTGCCATCCAGACTTTCTTGTTGGTCCATCATGTTTTTCTATTTGGTGGTTTTTTATCCTTAGATTCTCCTAATACCTCATGTGCTATTATTCTAGTGCTACTAGTAATATAATTCCACATTATTCTATTATCTGCGTCTGTATCCTTTACTTCCTTCAAAACTTTACTCTTGAAATTCTTTCTTTCTTCCCTTTTTTTTTTGGAATGAGGGCCATAGCTTGTTATATGAACTTGATCCTCTTTGGTATTCTGTTGCACTTCTTTATAACCAAATCACTACCTTATCATAACGCCACCTTTTCTTTCCTTCTTTTGGATTTTTACATTTAATATTGAAATACTTATGTAAATATTCAAAGACATGAGCTTAATAGCTTGCTGATACTTGTGAAAGCTTTGCATGTTTTATATGAGCTGAATTTTTGAACAAAGAATTCTGGCTCCTCTCAAGGAGCAGGATTTAAGCCTTCTAAAAATAATAAAGCACCAAGCATGCACAAGCCTAGGCTCATTGTCAATTCTAAATCTATGTGGAATTGAGATGTCTATATTCTGGAGGAGGAAGTTTCTTTAGATTGTCTCATTCATTGGATTTATCTTGGAACCTTTATTGCAGGTTTTGTTTAGACATTTGCTTGAACAGATTCTTGCTATTGAGGTATGTTATAGAGATTTAAAGCACTTCAAAGGGATTTACATTTTGGTGGTCTTTGTGATGATGGACATCCATGCATTTTTCCATTTCTTACATCGTATTTTGTCCCTTCAACTATTATAGGCAAAGCTGAAGGAGTCTCAGTACCAGCTAGCACCATGGCGTTCTGAAGCCAATCCTTCTAGTTTTCCTCAATCATCATCTCATCCTAAGGTTGGGCTGACATTTTATGTGGTCACATACTATCAAGTACCTCATCTTAGTTGTTATGATGTATATCTCAGTCTCTTGTTTATCCATGCCAGATGAAAATTGGGCTGGAACTGGTGCCACGGCCGGTGTATTCTAATGGAAAAATAACATCTTCAGCTCCTCATACAACAATGGATGGAGATCTAATGGGGCATCATCAGAGTGGTCTAGGTGCTGCCACAAAAAATTCGGAGCCTGATGACTTGGGGAGGTATTCGCCTCTCTCAAGCAGGTGAGCCTGGTCAAATGGAGACTACTATTGTGAACTGAATGTACAATGTCAACCTTCCGCTTTTGTTGGTGGGTTCTTGTTTCATAATTTTTTCTGCTGTCTGGCATGTTTGAAGTGATGACTTAGCTACGTGTGATGTCCTTGCATGAGGTGAAAATAATTTCTTTTATGGTAAAATGGAGTATGATCTTTCTGTTGAAGCTAAGCCCCTGTTCGATAGAAATTATAATTTAGATTTATCCAAATGAAAGTCAACAATTAATTTTAAACATATATTTCATGAATCCACAACTTTTCAACCACAGATTTCATTAACTTTTATCAAAATCTGCAAAAAATCTAATTTTAATCTCCATCGAACAAGGGCCAAATAAATTTTCATCTAGTTTCCTTTTGTTGAAGATAATATTTGAATCATATACATTAGCTTTATCTAATAACTAAAGCCCTTAGATCAAATCTCACCGCGATCCATTTAAATGAATTCCTGCACATGTTAGGCTTTGATTAAGAAAAAAGGGGGAATTTTATCTACATCCGAAGGAATTAATTAAATGATATATGTGGCCCTATCTATTTTAATAGTTTTAGATCAAGTGGTTTTAACACTTTTTATCTTGCTAGCATATGGTAATTCGACTTCTTGCCAGCACTATTTCTGTGTTTAAGAGAACCACCCATTGTAATCTCATAATTATAGAGTAAGAGCATCTATGCATACTAGAGAACATTTTTAAATTTAGAGTAAATTTTTGTATAAACCAACAATGTTCTATGTTTTGCTTTTTTTAAAAAAAATTATTTTTGATTTCTCCTTATCTTTTATTTTACATATTTTTTTTCATATGTCATCAAATCAATTATGATTCAAATAATTTAAGAAGTATTCTTTAGCTTATAAAATGTAATAATTATAAAGTAAGAATATAGAGTAAGTTTGACTCTCCAAATTTGGAGAGCTAGACCTACTGTTTCTTTTAAAAAGTTAAAATTAGAGTCTCTTGGAACTTATTTTTAAGTATTGACTCTTTAAAATAGAGAGTATCATGTATTTAGAGAGTCTCTTGAAGATATCCTAACACTATTGATGGCTAACAAAATTTTTTGTGAGATAAAAGAATGCTAGGGGCCTAATCATTACTGTTTTGTTTTTTTCAACATTTTTCTTTCGTGATTGAAAAGGAAAAATTGAGGTCCATTTTTCAAAGTTGGGTTGTGCAATAATTGAAAATAAAGATTTTGATATGCTCAAACAATAGAAGACTTGCCCAGCTGTAAAACTCCAGCCTATAAGAAAAATTAGAAGCCTCAAAAGCTCTCTTTATTTCAAGGTCGTATGGATTAGTTAAATCTTGTCTCTTCTGAGTAACATTAACTTTTTAGTGATTTTCTGAAAAATGTTCATTTTGGTAAACTATATTTATAAGCAGTTATACACTTCTTACTTATGAACGGAGAGAGAATGTTGATGACTAGAAATGAGATTAGCGAGCACAATTTTTCGGTGATATTTCATCTACATTTACCTTTAAAGATATTTCAACATAAATAAGTTAAATAACTTAATATTTTTAAGTTGTTAGCATTTTTTATTACATTAGTAGAGTCCCAAAAAACATAAAATTGTGTGTGCTAATAATTATTAACAATTATTTAATGATGATTATTCTTACTATAATGATTTTAATTTTTGAAATTTTAAAATAATATTGATATCTAGTAATTTGGTAATGTGATAATGAATAAATAGAAAGGGATGCTGAGACTTTTATGGCCAGCATGATGGGGATGGGCAAAAAAGGGAGAGGAGATGGGGACGTCCCTTTGGCATCGGCAGATATGGGGAGAGGGAGCTAAAATCTTGGTGGCACAATGGGATGGTGATAGATGGAGGGAGATAGGGAGCAAGGGTGTCAGAAAATATAGGCCTGAAGGTAATTTATGGGCTGTGACAAATGAAGGCAAGAAAATATTAACAGGAAAAAGACTCCAAATTCTGGTGCCACAAGAGCAGAATCCAAAGACAAAAATGACAATAATTTTGATGTAGGATGAATTAGAGGAAGAAATGAATGGCATAATTACAGCAAGAAAAAGAAGAGAAAAAGAAGAGAGGGAGGGAGCATGTAGAGGAGAAAGAGGGAACACAGCGGAGGAAGATTGGGCAACAAGCCAACGTGAATAATTTTTATTCATCCATCAACTAACTCAACTACAATGAAAAAATCTAATAAATAGTAAAAACCTAACCTACTAGTGGTGGGTTTGGGCCAACCACTATAAGCACAATTAAAAAAAACATAATTAATGAAAATTCCATAATATAAAAATGATATTCGCATCAACTCTCCCGGGGTAGGAGAAAACTTGACCCTGTCGATGGATAAACTTCTACCACGGGGGACGATCTTTCATAAGAACCGAATATCGAAACTCAACAAATGATGACAACGCTCGTTGCAAATTATCCCCAAGAATATGATCGGACTCTTATAAAGTTCGAATGAATCTTGATCACACTGCTGCAGTTTTTTTCCAAGAATCCATGGACAATCAGAATCAGGTGGGTCGACCCAACAAACAAGGTAGTACTGAATTTCATCATCATTGTTCAATACAATCTGTTCATCTAAAATAACATCAATTGTATCTTTGTGTGCTTTGACATATGGTATTGAGGTAGAAATATCAATATAGACAAGTTGGGGGTCAACAAAGCTAAATAGAAAATGATCATCAAAGGAATTGAAACGATATTTGTAAGTAATGAAGTCCTCAATAGTTAAAGTAGAGTGGTAGCCAAAATGTGAGAAAAGATCAATGACATGTGCATTTGGACCAACATGCTTTACGATTTTAAAAGGACCAGCACTGCGGGCTTGCAACATAACATAATCCCCAATATTAAATTCAAAATGTCGTTTATGCAAATCATCTTGAAGTTTATATGATGCATTAATTGCTTCAAGTCGTTTATTGATCTCAATATGCAAATCATGAAGATGATGTACAAATGCCTTAGTTGACATCGACACACTAGCATGTGGGGACTTGTGAATAAGGTCTAAAGGCTTCATAGGCTCATAGCCATGNAAATTCCAATTCCCAAGATTTTCCTTGAGAATGGCATGATTACACAAATCAATAGCACCTTTGGGTGGGATAATGGTACGACATATAAGACTTGACTGAGAAGTATCGGGGAACAAGAGGTACAATATGTAGATTCATAGGAAAAGTCCGAATACTACCTAAGGGGGCGTTTTCACTATCATCCAAGTCATCAAATTCTTCAAGTTTAGGTTCATAAATTGATCTTCTAACTGATCATCTATGATATTCTTTCGTTTTTCAATGATTAAAGCTCGGCTAGGACATTTGGAAGAGATGTGGTTAAAGTCCTTAAAGTTGTTGCACTGCAAGTGAGAAGAAGTCCTTGGAATTTCAGAAATTATACCTTTATTTTCAAACATAGGAGAAACATTTGACGGGGAAGGTCTCCTAATAGAGTTAAGAGGAAGCGGCGCTAATGAGATTGGTGTATGATTGTCACCATGCTTTTCATATGGAGTACCAATAATCAACTCAAAATCTCGGGCTAAAGAGTAAGCGTGATCAAGAGTAGTGACAACCCGAAAGAAAAGCTCACGCTTAAGATCATCTCTTAGACCTTGTCTAAACCTACTCAAAATCAAGGCCTCATCCTTGATGACATGACATTTCATTCGAAATTCCTCAAATTGAGCAATATTCTGAAGTCACTAACCGATTCTCTTGTTTAAGGGCTGTCCATTGAGGAAATAACGTGTAGCCGCCAACTCTAATTTTCATTCATCCATCAACTAACTCAACTACAATGAAAAAATCCAATAAATAGTAAAAACCTAACCTAGTGGTGGCGGGTTTGGGTCAACTCACTACTACAAGCCCAATAATAATATAAAAAAACCATAATTAATGAAAATTCCATAATATTAAAATGATGGCAGCATCAAATTCACTCCGATTTTGACAAACTGGTTGCTGGTTGTAAAATATCTAAAGGGTTTAGCAAAAAAAGGAAATAGACTAGATTTTTTGGTCCCTAGAGTTGCTCCCCATTCACGGAAACCCTTGGAGATCTTGAAATATTTCACAAGTTCGGGAGAGAATCATAGAGTAGATAAATCTTACATTCAAAATATTTCAAGAGGCTCCTACATGTTTTGCACTTCCAAAGAGTAATTATTCATGCCATAGTTCCATGGAGCTTCTGAAATTTCTCAAATGTAGTTGATGTATGTATTATATAAAAGCTCTCAATATTATCAATAGCTTTCAACATGAGTAGAAATATTGTAGCGTTTGCAAATTCGGCAATTGAAACTCATGTTTGGGTGGGCTTATTTTTGCTTATAAGCTCTGTTGTATGGACACTTAAATTAGGGTAGTGTGTCTGTATCTTACACGTATCGGATATTTGTCGAATACATACACTCTTTGGACATTCTACCATGATCATTTTTCTTTCTTTATTAGACAAATTATATATTTTTAATTCAAAGTTGTTATTAATAACAAATAGGTACTTATATTTAAAAGATTTCAATGAGAAAAATTAATAACAAGTATAAAACTAAATTTATACTATATAAATAAAGAATTTAATGAACGAGTCGACGAGTGTCAGTACTTCTTTAAAAAAATTCATGTCGGCGTGTCTGGACACACGTGTGTACGTACCGGTGCATCATATCTTATAAGCTTACTCATAAGAAGGAGAAAAAATATGTAGCACTTCCAAAGAGTGTAAATAATTCATGCGATAGTTCCATATAATTTCTGAAATTTCTCAAATGTATCTGATGTATTCATTGTATAAAGATCTCAAAATTATCAATAGGTTTCAATATCAATCGAAATAATGTAGCTTTTGCAAATTTTGGCAATATGAACTCTAATTCGAATATAGTTCTATTCCGTCCGATAATGAAGTTACCACATACCATAATCGAATTGGTAGTTGGCTTGTTTTTATGGTTTGGATATATTCTTGAGTTGTTTGGTTTATTTATTTATTTTTAATTAATTTCCGTTTTCCTTTTAGGAACATTGCATTCCAAGTAGCACCTGCACAGCTTGCAGTCAACCAGGATGATTTGCTTTCCATGCAGAATGTTAAAGAAACTGTCAGAAAGAAAGTCACACTTGGTGACCTTGTTAGACAGAATGATATGGACCCTGACACTGAAGGAAACCAGAATGATAGAGAGCCTTCTGTTAATTGGATTTCCGAAACGCCACATACAACTAGTCTTGATGATCCCAACTCATATTCTCATTTGCCACCAGTTCTCGAGGAACCTTCGTCCTCTTTTTCTGAGGATCAGAATTATTTCAGTTCTGTTCTGTTTATGCGCTGCTTCAATTATGCTGCTGTTGGTAACCTCTAATTCTAACTTTATTGCAATCATCGGCTGCAGATGATGACCCACTACCTGCAATAGAGGATCTCCAAATTTCAGGTGAAGCTTTTCCAGGACAGCAACTCACAGCATGTGGATACTCTATAAATGGGACTACCAGTTGTAATTTTGAGGTATTTCTGTTATAATGTCTCCATATTTCACTTGTTTCTTACATGTTAGTGCATCGATTATTATTTTCTTTTGTGTCATAATTACACTGGATTACATCTTGCTTTATGATGGCATAATTACACTAGAAATGTCCATTTCTGGGCTTTAACTTGCCTTATTCCTCAACTTGCAGTGGCTGCGTTATTTGGAAGATGGATCTTTTAATTTTATAGATGGTATTCTTTGCAATCAATTTTGATTCTAGTTTATTCTTTTCTATTACTATTCATTTTTAGTCTTACACGTTGTTGCTGACAGGTGCAAAGCAACCAATTTATCTTGTTACCGCAGATGATGTTGATGCGTACCTTGCCATCGAAGTCCAACCACAGGATGACAGGAAGCGGAAAGTACTCTCTCTCTCTCTGTGCGCGCGCTCACACTCGCATGTGTGTATGTATCATATGTGCTCTTGAATCAACATTAAACAAGTAATTAAAGAGAGATAGTGCTAGTTCTCAACACTCGTAACTAATCAATTATTTATTTATATTTTTCCTGGCAAAGTTGGGCTTCATGTTTTCTGATGAAAAATTCGTTTATCTGCCACTACATGCTAGAATTGAATTTTATTAGATTTGAAACATTAAATTCTTGTTTGATAGTTTGCAGCATTTTCAAAGGCAAATTCAGTGCTTGACTCACTGCCTATGAAACCCTCTAGGAGGAGAAGGCAGTCATCTCTATCCCTTTTGTAATGAGGCATGCCTATTAACATGGACTTTTATTCCTCCAGCGATTAGGTGTACCTCCCACCAAGTGCTGAAGAAAGGTCTAAAGATGTAAAATGAAACCAAAAACTCAATGAATTTTGTTTTTTTCCTACTGATATCAAAGCACCCTGAGTCATTCTCTTTTTATCTTTTAACAAATTGTGGATGCTATATAGTTAAGCTTCTTTTCCCACCTACCTGGCATTACATTTTGGGCAATTGGTGGTCAATCTCAAGTTCCTTTCTTTTTGTCTGCACCTTGGCAGCTCATTTAAATTCGTGTTGTTACAATACATGAGCTGAATTTTGACATTTTTCTACTGTACTTACCCCCAAAATTTGTTGTTTTAAAGTATTTACGATTAGGACACAAAAGGGATGAACCACACACCTGGTGTGTTAGCCTCTCCTTGCTTTCATCTTTTGCCTTCTGAAACATAGATCTCTTGACCATGAACATTAGTACATAGTTGAAACTTGAAACCCAATTATATTTGAAGGCAAACCTCATAAATATAAGTTCCATTAGTATTTGTTGGCAAGATATATGAGTTGAGCTGGTCAAATGGTTCTCAGATAGAGATGCAATTCTATGAAATCCTTGCCCGTGCCTCTGCCTGGCAGTATGCAACCAGGCGGGCAACCATGAGACTTTGAAAGATCCATGTAACAATTGTAGTGTCAAACAATATTACAGTAATCGTGTTAACAACTACTATAACAGGCGTGGTTGTAGCACCTACTCCAAATTATAAAGAAATGAAAAAAGAAAAATGTAAATATAAGGAACGGTATTTGTTAGGTCTGGTTAAGCATAACCCTTTTTGTAATCAAATTGCTTCTGATCCTTTATTTATTGTATATCACGCTGTAGACAAATTATCGATCCACCTGGTAATTGTATACCTTGAGAGGACAACTGCAGTTGTGGCACCAATATTTGCAAACTTTTCTCCTACAATCCACAAGACTATTCACTTTTACTGCTTGTAGAATGCACCGTAATTATTTATGTGATGAAACTTTTAATTCTGGTGATCGTGTAGGACTTATTTATCCCCACAGTTCATCTCCTGTAAATATTTAGATAATCTTCTTAAAGACACCAATGAACAAATCCTGTTCTCTGTGCTTGTTAAGAGCGTCCTTTTTTTTTTGATAGGTACTTGTTAAGAGCGTCCTTGAAATGCTGTTCACAAAGTTAAAAACAATTTATATGAAAATATAGATATGGTTGTCATAGAATGTAATGTTTTAAGTTATGAAGAACAAAAGAAACTTCATACAGGTTTCTATTATGTTATATTGTTTAAGCTCAAAGGTTTTTTTTTAATTCAATCCGCAATGCTTCTATGCCAACTCTAGACTGCTTATTTATACAATGCCGTAAAAACCTTAAGTGCAAGAAAATTTGAAAATTACGATAATATTACCAAAAATAATAGCTAAATTCAGTAGAAATAATAGAATATGTGTTTGGCCATCTGTGGAATTTCGCACAAAATCTCAAGGGCTCAGGGGCTTTGCCGCGAGTTTAGCTCAGAATCACGCTGCAGCTTCAAGAGTGATGCCATTCGTCCAAATCAAATTTCATTGACTAAAAACTGGGTTGTTGAATAGGCCACCTTTATTTTTCCCACGGCATATTCAGTCCCCTGAAGTTTAGTCTTATTTATGTACCTCGGTTCTCATCTCATGCTATACCTCTGTTCAATCAAATGTTGGTAGTGCAATCCTCTAATAAATAAAGTACCTCAACAATAAACATATTTTTTTTTTACTTGACTAGTGTTGTCACACCAGTTGTACTCCGTATATCTAGTTGGTTTCACTGTGTTGGATTTATTGAGCATTTGCTGTTGAAACTGCCAATTCCCTTTCTGCTATCCATTCATATAAGCTCCAAATAAGCCCCACCCACACATGGTCTATATACTTTAACTGTCATATACTTGTAAATCTAAGAATCCTTTTTTTAAGTTGAAAACTGGGAAGCTGATTCTCCTTCACTTTTTGACATTTTTTATTAATTATCTACTCCTGCTCCCTCCATTTTATCTCACGGATCTCTAGTTTTTATGCTTAGATCTCTCAGTTGACTTGTATATATTAAAATATATGCGCAGTGATTGTGGTGCTTAGGAGTCAGGTCAGAATTCTTGCATCTTTTTACAAGGTTTTCAGAAAATTTCTGGAGAATGTTTCATTTTCTTTGGAAAACAATGTACGAGTGTTCCAACATATAAATACTGCTTCTTTCCTTTGAGTTTTATTTCATCACGAATTTCTGTGCACGAAATGAAATTTTACCTTTTAATGGGATTCCTAGCATGAAATTTGTAAGGTGACTTGTTTCTTTGTATTTCAGGGTAAACTCGTTAAGGTCTTCGCCAATGAGCACAAAAAAATCACTTGCGGTAATTGATACTTGTGCAAATTATAACTCAAGCTTACACTTAATTAAGTTTTTGGGAGTCAATATCCTGATGTTGACCTCATGTCATATTCATATATAGAGCTTGTCCATATTCTAGTTGAAGATGATAGTTCTTTGAAAAAAGTAAGCATTTTCCATGTGTTCTTTTCACATATTGTAGGATCTTTCGCATGTTCCATGTAGGATTCAGAAAGAGATTGCACGTATTGACTAGCTACATTTACAATGCAATATTAATTTTAGCGTGAGATAAATATATTAGCTTGCCAACCAATCTATGATATCACCCCTTGTTAACCACAACACTCTCAACAATAACCGTCCAAGTTAACCCTGGCCAACATACCTAATTTCTTAATGTGTTCTGTTTTCTCCGTGACAAAAACATGCCCTTTCTAGAACTTGCAACCTCAGTACCCAAAATGTATCTCAATTTTTTGAAATCCTTAATCTCGAATTCCCTGGCAAGCATTCTTTTAAGGTTTCCAATTCATCAGCATCTTTAACTTTTCCACCTTTAGAATGTTGGAAGAACATGATATGATCGCGTTGGCTTTGGATATTCGCAAAACAATGAATTGCTTTGGTAAACTTCTCAAACCAAGCCCACGATGATTATTTGTCATATAAGGACTTTTCTTAACATGCCCACTTTTTTCATTCTAACACATCTTCAAAGCCGTGTGGTAACTCCATGTACACTTTATCTACTAAATCTCCATATAAGAATGCATTCTTAACATCAAGTTTCTCAAGATGCAGTCTAAATTTATGGCAAGTGATAAGAACACGAATTTAATTAGTTTGGGCAGCAGTGCAAAAGTTTCTTGATAGTCCGTTGACCCTGTAAGACTGTGAGCCCCCTTTGCAACAAGTCTTCCTTTGTAAATTTCAATTATCCCATATGCCTTGTATTTTAGTCTCGAGTCTCGAAGTCATCTACTGAATCTGAATATCAAGCCATGTTGTCAACCTGTTATGAAGTCATATGGCTTCGGGGCTTGTTTTTGGAAATTGGTGTTTCCACGGTTTTCTCCATCTCCTCTTTATGTTGATAATACGAGTCTATTCAAATTGCTAGTAATCCAGTTCTTTGTGAGCGAACAAAGCAGATTGAGTTAGATAGTCATTCTATTTGTGAAGCGCTTGGTCGACATGAGATTTCTCTTCCTCACATCACCACTGAACACTAAACAGCTAATGTTTTTACCAAAGCTCTCTTGCCATTGCCATCAGTTTATGGTTGACAAATTGATACTTGATCGACCATTATCAATTTGAAAGGGGATGTCAATGAGGTGTCGTACTCTAAGAGATTTGATTATATCTTCCTTATCTTAGGATATTTGATTATATTTCCAAATATAGGAGATTCGATTTGTAGATAACTATAAATTCCTAGTATAGGAGATTTGATTGTAAATTACTTTATTTAGAAGATGTAATTCTATTATATAAAGGAGAAGGACAACCTCAATTGAGGATTCAATCCAATTAACAATAATCAAGTATAAGATAGCAATATTATAACTGATGACTGCCATAACTACAGAAATAATATACATATTTCCACAGTTTCATTTAATACGTTCTCCTGTAGGTTTCAGTTGTCACATTGCACTCCAGTCCAATTGACATCAAAATCTAATTCAAAATTTTAAACTCAAGTTTTCCTTTATAGTTATTTTCTTGCTGTTTGGTTTGTCCATTTTTATTGCTTTAGTTTTTAATATTCATCTTTCCTTTCTCTTGCAGACCCTGAAATGCAAAATTGCATAGAGAAGACACTTTACAGTGGTCATGCTTCGTACAAATTATCCCTGTCGGTAAGAGTGCCACTGGATTATTTATATTCTTTATTCTTTAACCATATGATTGTTATCTTATCCCTAAGTCACACTTATCTCTTTCAAGTGCCTTTCTTTTCTGATTTGTTTTTTTTTTTTTTTTCACCTCTTCCTTTGTCCTGAAGACTGGGTATCTTGATATATGGGAGCCAGCTACATTGGCAATAAAAAGGGATGGTTACAGCATCAAGTGTAATGGACCTAGTCGTGTTGTCATCGCCGAGAAGTTTTCACCATCGATAAGTGTATGTTCTCTATCCATTTTGTTGGCTCACATTAAACCGTGAATTTGCCCCTTATGATAAATACCTTTGCAATCCCTCTAAAAGACACCCTTCCTTACACTGTTTAAGAAATTTGAATTCTAGTTCCTGTGGACTAACTGAGTTTGTATTCGTTAAGAAGCTTGATTAGATCTTTCTTTTGATGCTTTAGCATTTTATGTTCAATACAACTTAATGAATTACTACAAAAGTCATGCAAAGCATTATATACCCCGTTATTGAAAGACGGAAGATGCAAAACAATATAGAAGTTTACGAGCTTAATTGATGAAGACAATTGTAGATAAAGAGGAGAGAAGATGGAAAGTATTAATGTGGTAGAAAAATCAAAGAGAAAAATAAGAAACGTGAATAACTACCTTACGGACACCCTGATTTTGAATAGCATCAAAGTCAACAAAGAAAACCGAGAAACAACTTTGTTCCGTTCTAAAAATTCACATGACAGCACATATTTTTTTTTATGTATGCTAGAAAATCCAATAAACCTTGAGTTGTCAAAATCAGGCCTGCTTAATAGCGGAACCACATAGGACTCAAATTAAGCTGCATATGCCAGAATACAGCACATGAAAGAACTACTAAACAATTTTGGGGAACACTAAAAAAAATCTTTGGGACTGCTTTGTTTAGTTGTATTTGCTTTTCTTTTCTAAATAGAACTGTCTGTTTCAAACTAAATATATATTATCTTGTTTGTTCCTTTTTTTCGTACTTTTTCAGGTCTCTATTCCATATGGCAGTCCGACAGAATTCCTTATAGTTGATTCTCAGGGGATTGAGCATCTTCTGAGGGTGGAGAATAGTTCAGTGGATATTAGTGGGTAAGTTGTACTCATTTGCTTTCTGCAAGCATTGAACAATTGTCATGTCTGGAATCGGGTGAGATAATCTAATGTGTTACTTCCCCCACAATACTTCTGATAGTTTCTGTCTGAAAATGTGAATGTAGTTTAGGATACAGATTCCAGAATGTATAGGTTTACAGCCATGAAGACTTTATGAGAGAATAATGAGGAAAAACTTTAGGTCTGCAGCACATGGACATGGCAAGCATTTATGATTATCGTTCTTCCTAAGACAATTTGGTGGAGGGACTGTTTCTTTCTAAGAGAATTTATTTTTGAATTCAGATCTGGAAGGCAAGATAAATATAATAATTCAGCACTGCAAAACTGATGCGGTGGTTTACGAGTGAAAAGATAGAGATTATGAGAGATAATGATGACGAATATATTGAAATTCTTTTGCATCATTATTATATGAATGCCATTGCTATTCAAGGTGAGAACTTGGTGAACTTGCATTGTGAATGTTTGTTAGTGTACTGAAGAGCTGGACATGAAATTTGGTATCAAATAATTCAGATATAACAATGTTCTCCATGGGCTTACATGTTATAGAGAAAAATATATATTGTATGAGGACAAGCTGTCTTCCAATATCAAATCAAGAACTTGATCACCTAAGATCTTATTCTAGTGCTTAGTACATTCCGTTATGTTAGGATTCCTTGAAAGTCAGGCAATGGCCAGGTCTAAAACAATTAGCAAATTGATTTGGAAACTCATTAGCTGCATTTTTGGAATTTCAACCCCATCTGAGATCTGGTTTAGTGATTCCTTGCCATTGATTTTTTTTTTTTTTTTTTCAACTAATTTTCGTTAAATCATATTGTTTGAACTTTTGCTAGCAAGGAGGGGTTGGGGGGGGGGGGGGGGGGGGGGATGTTGGG